TATATACAAGTTAAGTATATTTTCATACCTGTGATAGATTTCATAAAGATCAAACAAAGGGCAACATTAAAGTAAAAATTGAGTGAGATATTTAAAAAAAATTTGAACTAATGTAGATCACACTGCCATAAACATAAGAAATTGCGTCTGATTATTTCTAAAGATCAAAGAATGGAATGGAGATTGAAATTTTCAAGATATTCCAATTGAGATTTAATTCTTGGTATTGGAATTAACAGATCTTTGTTATGGGCTTTGATTCAGCAGCATTATCAGATATTTCTCATTGAAGCCCAAAAATAAGAAATTTATCACAGGTATGCTTACCAAGTTATTTAAACTGATATTTGGCATAATATTATGTATTCTTACTTGTTGTTAACAAGCTTTGTACAAGATGTACGTATTGTTGGCAATTTTAGGGAATCTCATCAATTTGACTAGAAAAGTTTTCTATTTTTTCTACTAATCATACAATTCTTTAGTTTTCATTCTGACCATCTTATTCTTCCTATTAACATTATAACAGTTATCATGTTATATCATTTTACCACCAGTAACTCAACTGCAACTTTCGGTCCTTTTTTTTTTTTTTTTTTTTTGGCAATTTATTAGTATTTTTGAAAGGTTTAATTTGATATTCAAATGGGTGATGGTCCGTAATTTTGTTGATGTGTTTGAAAAAATCAAAATGAATGGTGATTCTACTTAATTTGAAATTAACAAAGTGTAAATTTGGTGATTCGAATGTTGGAATATCCTTTAATAACATTTTTTTGCATCTTTTATTAATATATTATGATTAACACAATTACTTACTGCTGTCAAAGCTTATATTTAACCAATTGGCCAACTTATTTTGTACCTTCTTACTTAATATAGTATGACAATAAAATGTTTGTAGCCTTCAATTCCCATTTCTTCTTTATTTCTAACTCACTAATATTGCCTTGTGTTTGTGCCTAGAATCTTCAAAATTTTCAATTCATCTTGGTGAAAAATTAAAATAGTCAAAAATGTTTCTTTTTTTTTTTTATCTGTGGCACAAACACGTTGAAAGCAAGTATTTTCCTTGTATTAATGAAGCTGGCATGATAACATGAAAGTTGTGTTGTTTGTGGTTTGAGGTTGGTGTTTTTAATAACATTTTTCTACTACCAGATTTTGGTCATTTTACATTGAGGTTCACTAACTGATATATTTGCCTACTTACAACCTTTATTCACAGGTCCAACAGATAACAAGCTTTTATTCTTTGTTATCATTCAGATCAACAGGTTTGATCTTTAGCTTGGTAGTTGGTAGCTACTAAAATTCAAACTAAACCTTTACTTATAACTATTATGCACATATAATTATTCTGTATTAAATCTTCTATTAATTCAGGGTATCAGAAATAGCTGGTCTAAACTTTGCCATAATACTTTTAATGTTTGGAATCATCTTGCCATTTGTGATGTTTCTGTTGTTTTTGGAGACTTGCTCAATTGCTCAATTTTGTATATAAGACTGTAAACCTGTTATGTGACATAATCTAGTATTATCAGCTAGGATAGATTTATTTATCCATGACATTTTAGGCCTTTAATTTGTTTTTACCTATTTTTCATTTAAATAACAAATAACTTATAACATAACTGTGCTTTGGTGATAATTCCAACCAACATGTTCTTCTGGAGCTTCTGTTCAAATAATTTTTAACACTAATCCTCTTGAGCTGACTAGTGAATTAGGTGGAGCACATAAGACAGATTAGTGCTAATATAGCTTGTTAACCACTATTTCGACCAAATGGAATTTAGTTATAAGTCCTTCTACTCCCAACCTTACAAAATAGTTTGGCCATTTTTTCACGCAGTACCAGATGGTATTGGTGTTGGGTGTAATAACCCAATGGTATTTGGACAGTATAAACAGCAGTTTTCCCAGTCTCAAATCTACCCCGTAAAGCCCTCCTGAATATACTATATTCAGTTATTTATGGAGAAAATATTTTCTTTTCTTCATTTTCATCTCGGATAATTTGCCTATGAACGTCTGAGATGATGTTCATTGAACTCAAACCCAGGTTTGCTCTTCATATGGATATGGAGAATACATTGACGTCATCAATCATGTTGATACATCCGCAATAATTAATTGCCTGTAAAAAATATTCTAGGAGACACTTTTTTGACGAATTTTAATGAAAAATGGGGAAATTGTTCTTTATCATCCACAGATGAACTCAAGTTTTACTTTGAAAAAAAGGGTTTTTTCAGTGTCAGCATACTACACAAAAGATTAAAACCTCTTCACAATCCATTTAACTGTAATTTTATCCCTCCTTTCAGCACAAAAGGATATATATATATATATAGTTTGCCAAGCGATGAGCCCCTCTGTTCTGGCTGTAACAAATAAAAAGGCAAGGTAACATGTAGAAATGATGAAATCTTTTGTGGCGTTGATGAATTTTCAAATAATCTTAATCGTCTATAAGTCAAGGGAAAAAACCTGAAACAGTTAATCAAATTATCATCAAATTCAAACATGAATAATGTCCCATCGCTATACAGGCAAGGGCAATAACTCTGAAACTGTTAATCCGATTATTACCAATTTCTAACTTGACCGAGTCATCAATATATATTATGGACATCTAGTTTCATCAAGATAGGATAAAAAAAAATTGTAGTCTCTATAGTGCCTACAATGCAAATTTGACGCTTTTTTATTTACTCTGAAACAGTTAATTCGATTATTACCAATTTGGAACTTGACTGAGATCTCTTCAATATATACATGCATACCAAGTTTCATCAAGATCAGATAACTGTAGTCGTTATCGTGCCTTCAAGCCAGATTTGTCGCATTTACTAAGCCAAGGGCAATAACTCTGATGACCGAGATCCCATCAATACATACAAGCAAACCAATTTTCACCAAGATCGGATAAAAACTGTAGCCTCTATCGTGCCTTCAAGGAAAATTTGAAGGGTTTTCTTCCCTGTCAAGGAAAATAACCCCGAAACCGTTCATCGGCTTATTACCAATTTCGAATTTGACTGAGATCTCATCAATATATACATGCATACCAAGTTTCATCAAGATCAAATAAAAACTGTAGCTTCTATCGTGCCTATAAGGCAAATTTGATGCCTTTTTTTTTAACTAAGTCAAGGGCAATAACTCTGAAACCGTTCATCTGATTATTACCAAATTCGAACCTGATCGAGATCTCATCAATATATACATGTATAACAAGTTTCATCAAGATCGGATAAAAACTAGATAGGGGCGACGGCAATACACGTCCACATCTCCATGTAGGCGTATAAAAAGTACTCTACTCCCACTTAATAAATGGCGTTAGATGTATTCTCCAGCTTCCCACATTTCATATGCCCCCCCATAGTGTTCGCAGTTTAGTGTCGAAATTAGGAGTCAGGGCTACCTCATACTTGGAAAATTAGAGCCTTAAAATCCATGTGTATCCAGAATTATCTTTTCTTGAGACTTTGCCATAATGTATAAGACATACGAAAATGGAAATTCCTAGTTAAAGGTATTGTGCGTACATTTCTAGTATTTCTGAAGACCATTTTCCGGACCCAAATCAACCCCCGAAGATGTGAATCAGTCCCTTTAATCTAACTGAGGCAACGGCAGGGCTTTTGTATGGGATTATAAAGTGGCGTGAAGGTAATGGACACTGTCACTTCAGTGAATTGTTAAATTTAAGGATGAAGAACAGAAGATAAGGAGATCATTGATCAACATGGAATTCTAGATTCAAAGAAATCAACCAGCAAGACAGGCTGTTATATGACCGTATTCCGATCACTGGAAATGGCCAGTGTTTTTTTTTTTTTTTTTTTGCCATAGGCCTATGTTATTTGCAAATAAAATGAATATTTATATTTAAACATTATGCAGTTTTTTTAATAGTAAAATAGCCTATAAAAGGACACTTCCTCGAATTTTTTTAGATCCTTACATACAGTTATTGTCGATGACATCATAATATTGATGATAACTTTGTTTTTCTGAAAAGGGTTAGAGCCCGATTCAGAACATTTTCACTACCAGAATGACTTCTCCAACAAATTCAACAAAGCAAAATTCTCCCAAATTGCGGCTCAAACTGTACGTGCTTCTGAACTGTGTGTTAGTGTCAGTACATCCGCAAAGAAGGAAAAGGAGACCAACACTTTTCCTACATCATACAACAAAATCTAAACACCAAACAAACGCTTCTACATAGGCTTGCGTACATACAACATTATACAACACCCCTACAAAAACCTTCCGCAAATTTATACCATATCTACTACATTCCGACACGTACCATTCTTACAACCCCAATAGAATATCACATCACAACCACTTAACAACATACAACACTCGTCAAACCTCCTTCATGTGCAACATCCCTGGCTCAACATTCCTCGTTTCTACTCTCCAAGCATCGTCACTTTGGGCAAACGCCACCCTGTTTTCTACCAGACCATCAACGAAACCAAGACATGGCAATGGAAATGGACGCACATCAACATACGCCAACTAAACAGACCCTGAATCATACTCTAAGTTCACCATGTCCTAGTCCAGCAGACGTGGGTAAACTTCCCAGAGAGAGGTAAACCTCTACTCTTCCCTGTCTCTCAGGTTCTCAATCCACACCTTCTCATTCTTTTTCCCGTGATGCAGCCAACCTTTCTGCCTTTGTACAAAATCAAAAAGATATAGATTTTGATACGTTTGTTGCAACTCTCTGGTACAAAATTTGAGCCCCAGCACCATTTCATTTCTGGCTGAAGCCCCATCAACAACCAATATTTCTCCTTTCACCAAACCAAGAACAAATATCAATCCTGATGTGAGAAATACACCTTAATCATTGGACCTTATTATGGCCTTAATCATTGGACTCTTACATGTTGGCCTCAACAACTGTAACCAAAAAAACCCTCCTATAACCAAACCCAGAAACAAATTTAAACAGCCAAACAAACCTTCCTATTATATATTATATTTATTGAATGCAAAGCAAATTTTTAAGGTAGCATTTATTTAAATAAATATATTATAATATACATACATGTCAATATTTACAAGCTATAGTTCATATCATTGTGCTTTATTACTTAATAGATTTACCTGAAATAAGTAATAACTGAAAGGCTAAAATATTTTGAAGATAGCAATTTGTATTCCAAAACTTGCAGACTTAAATGTCCTCTGAAAATAAATAGTTTCAGAGGCTACAATGAAGTGAGCAAATTTTGGATGAGGTAACTTAAGATTTCAAATGAATTGATATACTGGACAATGATCAAATTATGCTTACGACAGAAACTTTAGGCCTACCACCTCATTTCTACAAATAAATTCCAATTAAGAATCTCAAATATATCACAGATTAAAAGGTGACTGTTTAAAATATTCTACATGATGATAAAATATATAGTTTCAAACAAGATATCTTACAACACAAGTGAGAAAACCTCACCATATTGAGCTTTAATGCTGTCTTATAATGCTGAATACAGTTCTTGAAGACAACTTTATTTCACATAATAAAATATTAAATTGATAAGGTCCATGACTTTCTAATTCAACATACAAGATTCGTATGTGGGGACCATGTATTTAATATTAATAAAAGCATCTTCTCCTCCGTGTCTTTCAAACGCTTCCAAAGTTTCTTGGATTAAATCTCCCACATTTTCACGTTTTTGTTGGCTATAATCAATACCATCACCAGAATTTACTGAAATTATCAAAATATTTTTCATAAGTTTAACACCTAAGGTGAAGTATGTAATGCCATCAACAAGACTAACTGCTTTTCATCTAAAAGAGCTCATAAAAGCAGTGTTTCTATATTGTCATCCTTGCACTAAGCAGATCGTAATAAAGAGGACATCAAAGTTCAATACAACTTAAAGGGGACAATTGGATTTATTGATGAAAATTGTTTGATTCTTATCAAGCATGACTTGAAGCTTTATCAAGACTAATATTAATATTACTTACAGTTTTTATTTTTGAAGATATTCATAACTGGTAAAATTTGTCTGTAATATGGTACTAAAGCTTCTCCAACCAAATCTGCTGATACTACTAAATGTTGTAACACTTTCAATGTGGTGCATAGAACTTTATGATTTCGCTTGTTTAAAGCATCTAAAAAAGATGATATGATAATTAGATATGATATAAACTTAGTATAAACAAAGATATGTATTCAGATCACTTCAGAACTTGATCGAGTTTGTCAAAACTTTTCTTGTTAGAGTAATACCAAATCACAAAACTAGCTTAAGTTGGGATAAATAACCCATATTCAAGTAAAAAAAATCGTTTTCTTTCATGTCAAATGACTTTATATCCCATTACCACATGTTGATTTGACTGTCACACAAAAACAGTCCAACCATCAACCCACAGCAGAAAAGAGAACTTACTTTTAATTGGGATGATAAGTTGAGGTATAACTGGAAGGATTTTGGATCCTCCATGTTCTAACATATCATGAACACCTTGTCGAGCAAAAAATTCATAAGGATGAACTGTTTCACACAAACCATCAAAGAATAGTGGTAAATAATGGTGATAATCTAACTTCTCAATTTCAACCTATAAAGGAACAAAAATATTTAGCTTGTAATCAATGTTTGAGATCATTAGAGCAATTTATTATTTAACTCAATATAATAACATGTAGAAATTGGTTATTTAATATATCATGTTGCAGTAAATTCAAGATTCACAAAATACAATCAGCTCTTGCACCAATGCTGAATTTCACTCAGAGTCTCAGGTTCATATTCATATAACTTTTTTTTTGGTTTACAGCAGCACTGATATGATTCCATTAACAATCTCAAAAGCTGTAATCTATTGAAATTCAAATAAATATGAAATTTACCTTCCATGCTATCTTATTGCCTTTTGTATCATGTTCTAAAGCAATGGGGAAGTCACCTCGGTTATAGAATAATCTAAAATTTGTAGGTTTTGTTTCTCTCTCTTTGAAAGCTCCAGCAGGTTTAGGTCCAGCAAGCTGAAATTAAAAAATAAAACTTTTGTAAATCAGTCATCATGATAGTGTCAGTGTCCAATATATTATTTTCTTTCATTCTAATTCTGGTTATTTATAAACATTAGGGAGGCTATTATTATAACAAGGTTGTAATTCAATAACCACATCAATAATTAAGCCAATTCATTAATTATTTTCATACACATAATAAGGTTTTCGTTAATTTGTCTTGTAGGGTATTCAGAGTCAATGACAGTAGGTCTATTTCTAGTCTAGTGATAGTCTAGTACTAGTACTGAGCGTGAATTTTAATGGTATTAGAATTATACTGTAGCCTACTTCAGGATATCTACTAGCAATATTTAGCAGAGAGGCCATCTAAAGATCATAGACTTAATTATTTTATCAATATCAATCAACACAACGTCAACAGACGAACAGAACAACACACGAACACGTACGACATTTGGATTGACTGACAAACTCACCATCTCATCTTGTCGTTTTGAACCAGTTTTATAAAGTCCAGTTGAACACGGTTGCATACTTTTCATCATTTTTGTGGGTTTTGCTTCTCACTCTGTTTCGACAACTCGGAGACAATTGATTTAATAATAAATTACTAATAAAAATTCCGCTTTTCTTATGCAAACATCACAACATACATGGAGCTAGTAAACAAGTAACCAAGCAACAAATACCCGGATGTAAATCTGGCGTCAGAGGTTTCTATAACAACACTTCCGTTTCCGTTTTGGGCGCGTTCGTTCTGAGCACACATGAGGAGCTAGTCCAAAAGCATTACATCGGATGGATCGAATACATAAATATCCGTTACAACCGGACGTGCATGGAACTTGATGTAAAGTTCCTAAAATAATGTATCAACAAAGTTTTCTAGCCTGCAGATGCCTTTCTGTTGGCATTTCAACATTTGCTAAAAATGGTAGCAGGTGCATGGTTGTGATGAATATCAACCAGCAACAAAGTAAGTAACAGGGGCAACAAAAATGCAAAGCGTTTATCATACTGTCATAGAATTAGAATAGCCTATTGACACTAATTATTTAATTATAGTAATAATAATAATAGTAATAATGATTTAATATTTATATATTTAAACAACATATGATTTATTTGATATTTTCCACTGTCCAATAGATTCACTTGCTAGAACAAAGTTCGGTCTTTGAGATCCTCTTGAAATATACCATATTTTATCTTTTATTACCCTCCCGTATAAATAACCATTATTGGCATTAGCATTACAAGTAAGACTAAGAGTAAGTACTGACTACTACTGCAATCTGCAAAATATGTTCAGAAGAAAATTGATAAGAGTATGTTTTCAGCCTAGTATAAACTGGGTTGTCATTTGGACCTATAGCCAATTGATTTTCACAGAAAGGAGCATGCATATGTATATTTAAAAATATCATAACAAGCAATGTACTGGTACCATAACTTATGTTTAATATTCTTATTTTTCAGATAAATTAAGTTTGAATTATTATGCCACCAAGGCAGAGAACAAAGAATCAAAAAAAGACAAAACAAATCAGATGGTGTTGAGAAAACCACGTAACTTTGATTATTCAGGTAATGTAAGGTGGAGAATATTATGAGAGATTAAAATGGTCTTTTAAATATTTTACAAAATGGTTGTTAACAACATAAGTGTGTATTATTTCCATGTAAGAACAATACCATTGTGATTGAAGAGTTTACATTATAGATGAATAATTTTGATGGTTTGATTTTGTCTGTTGTAGGAGATTTAACATCGACTGAAATATTTCCCAGCTCTGATATAGTCAATAAATATAAAAAAATTAGTGAACTTGACAGGTAATATAACATTTTTCTCTTTCACACTCAAATTAGGACTGGACAACTTTATCTTAAGTCTATAAAGCGTAGCTCAAGCTACTGGAAGTTTAAATAATGTGAATGTATTCATTATGAATAGATGTTTTTTTTTCTATGATATCCAATTTCAGTATAAGATATATGCCACATGTCTTGTGTTTATGCACTCCATATAAATTCTTTTTTGATTCTTTAAAATCAAAATACATAATTTTCTTTCTTTTTTTTTTAACTATAAATAACATAGCAAAGTACATTTAAAGTACCAATGCAATTTAATCTTTATTACTCAAATTGATAATTTCTCTTCTTGTGACCTTGGCCAGTGCTTCTATAGGAGTACAACACCCAACACTTATATTTGTGATATGTTTCAGCTTACCAGATCCTATAAAGAAATTGTGTACATTACAATATGCTTCTCGTGTAAGTAATTAACAATATTTCCTAAAAGCAAAAGGCTTATATATTTAATGACTTTATTCGTCTTGAAACAGGTTGTCTTTTTTTTTTAATTTCATTGTGAAAGTCTGTAGATTTTTTGTTTGATTTTATTGAAAAATATAAGTAACCATGATATAATAACTGTTATTTTTAGATTGAGTATAAAGAACATATTATAAATGAAATGAAAGATAAAATCCAACGATTATTTGGTGATAGAGCTTTCAGAGAACAAAGCAGTAAGTATTGGTACCTATTGTGAATTTGATACCTATGAAGCTGCATATCAACATGACATTTTTTTTCAGTGAATATTTTTTTGTGGTTCTCATTCATGTTGAAAGCATGTTCAAGTAGTTGCTGTACTTTCCAATACCAGGAAATGATGTATATCCATACAATGTCTTAATGTGTTTTTTCTATCTTTCCTTCTTTTTCTAGTTGCTAAATTAACGTTAGATATCAGAAGTTTAATTGGTCATTGTTTGAGGAATCCACAGGTAATTATATGCAATCAGATTTGTTAGACATGTGAGCAAAGTACCATTTCTATAATGGATGTTAAATGAGAAGGGATGTAACTCCAATTATCTCTGGTATGCAATGTTAAAAAAAACCCCAGAAATTCACTTAAACAAATGAAATTATTGGAACAGAAATGTGTTAATAAACAGGGGTCTACTGTAATTGATTTTTTTTTATTGAATTTTATATTCAATTTGTTGTCAATGATATGTTTATCAGATAGACACTGTCAAATCTGAGGCTCATACCAAGATAGATGTTTACTCCAATGATATTCAGTTACTCTAAAAAATAGTTTTTGAAAAGTTTTATTCCATTTTCACAGTTTGGAGCTCAAAGTTAAATAGTAGAAAAAGTTAAATTAGGTTTTATCTTTAAATAATGATTTTAGTGTTCTAGTTATCTGATCAGTCAATCACTGAAATTGATTAATGAATTTTTTTTCGATTTACAGGATAAGTTAAATAAATCTATATTGGTAGAAAAAATACAACAAAGAAGAAAATATCTGAAATTTATGAGGAGGGAAGATTATGAAAGATTTGAATGGCTCCTGGAAGAATTGCAGATTCAATATATCCCAGTGCCAAGATATCACATCCCGGAAGGTAAAAGAAATAAACGTAAATCAGCAGCCAAAGCTGAAGCCTATGCTGTTCGACAGAAAAAAATTGATGACCTGAAAGCGAAGTTAGAAGAAGAAAAGCATGAATTTTTGAATTATAAAGACAAGGTTATGAGTGAAATGAAAAGGGATATTGAAACATATAAGCTTGATAAAGATTTCTTTCAAAAACAGTTATATAGAGAAGATGAGAGACGAATGTCAAAACAAACTATAAGAAATAGATTAGAATCAGCTAGTGCACAAAGCAAGAAGTAATCATTTGATTACATTGTGTTGAATTGGATGCGTCTTTTATAGATAAAAAGTTTAAATAGATTTGCTGTTTCATATTTATCTGTTTATGATGGCCTATCCAGTCAATCTGTATTATTCATGTATGAAAACTAATTGTATTGGTCGATGACTTGAACCTCAGCTGGTTAGCGAAAGTGATGACAAGCGACAGGGATAATTGGGGAACTGACCTTAGAAGCAAATGCATTCAAAACACCAGTCAAGGTGACAAAAGGTTGTCATTTTGTAGAAAAAGAAAGCGATTCATGAAGAATGATTTTATTCCATTAGAAACATTTCACCAAAAAACAGACAACATAGCCACTCATCCATGGAAGCAAACAATACATTCATAATTGAAAATTATTCCTCAATTCAAACTGTCAAAATTAAATTTTGGCACAAAAAGCTCATTATACCATACAATAAGGAATATTTAGAATTATATTATGTACAGGTGCCAACTGATCTATGTTGGACTGATAATAATTTAATAACAAAATTAATTTAATGGATTCTAAATTTGAGAAAGATGGACTGTGTATGCTCTTAGCTTTTCATTTTTCAATGAAGATCAAAGATTTCTGTTACATCCAGAGATTGATTACAATAATAACTTTTATAATTTCAATTACTATTTATTCTACCTTCAGACTAGAGGGGGGGGGGGCTCGATTGGCACGTTCAATAAAACAAGTTGGAATAAGGTTCAGAACGAGTTCCATGTGTACTTAAAAAATAGTGGGTGCAGACAGAATCCGCTTTCATATCGTTCGATTGGGGGTGGAATTGTAACAGACAGAACCTGTTCAGAATTTTCCAATCTAGTGCCACCCAGGTGTCTCTGGATGAACACAAATATCTTTAACTATAACATATATCTTGTCAAGGAACTCAAACAATTTTATTTATAAATAATAGTGATATCTTTGTTACATATCAGTACTCAGCTTAAACAAGTGGATCTTTATTCCATAATTCTATTCATTTTTATAACAAATGTTTTATTTACAAAATAAATAACAAGAAAAATATAAATCGTAAAAAAAATGATAAGAAAAATTTCTAATATTATAACATTACACGTAAACCTTTATTATGAAAACCCCAGAGATCAGAAAGAATATGCTAATACTATGTAGATAATATTATTAAAGTTTCAGAAACTATCTATTAAAATTATATTGTGATCTAATTTAAACTTATTGCTTCTTCACAATGTCAAGTTATTTCAAAGAAGTGCAATATCTTTACATCAATAGGCACTTTTCTTACATCATAGAAGTCGATTTTATTGTGTACAGCCCATCAGAGACCTCAACCAAAAGACTGTAAACATAATTGTGGTTCATGTTATCAAAGGCTCTGATTAACTGTATTCACTAGCATACAATCCAAACTAATCTCTGCATAAACAAACGTGAAAAGGACCTAATGATGTCAAGGTATTAGACTAGGTTCATAAAACTTTGAAGTGTAGATGCACTAATTATGGCAAGACGTTTTGAATGCAATTGAGGATGTACATAATTGTTAAGAAAATCCCCTGTTGTATATAATAAATTTGTCATGGTTTCCTTCCTAAATAAATGAAATGAAATGAATGGAGTTTCCTAAAGCCAGATAACATGAACATTGGTTTCAAACTTGTTGTTAACTGTAATAACCTATTCATAAAGTAGTTACTTTCATATTTTTCAGATTAAATTTCATAATATGATAATCTAAAATGAAAGGATCAAGTTTTGACTTAAAATCAATTGAGGTAAACATAATTCTATAAGAAATCAATTTGTAAATTATGAAACCACAGAAAATAATGCAGAATCATTAACTAATTATCTGCAGTTTGCATTGAATTTATATCAATATACAAATTAGTTGAGAATATACAAAATATTAAGACTAGATTATACTACTAAATTATCACAAGATAGTAATCTAACAGAGCAGACATTTGAAAGCTTACATAAAAAAATTTTCAGCATGTTGAAATTTTGTCCAAGCTTGGAAATTACCAATTTGGATATCTCTTTGCTTAAAAACAAAGAGGAAGTGGTGTAGTATATAACCCAAGGTTGGAAACTTTTAGAAGGTAAAATTTTCAGTTTTTTTGCAAAGCATTGTGACAAGCATTCCTACATTCAAAACAACATTTAGGCAGTGTTCTACTATACAATATCACTCTTTTTAAGATGTCTATTTTATAACTCTACGATCACAGAAAAGCCCAGGATAAACTCTAAGAGATACACCACATATAAATACATTTACATAAATGTAAATTAGAAATGCTATGTAAATATATTTATATCTAATAGACCTTTTCTATAATATTTAACTTCTATTGTTCAGCTTCTATATATACTTTATTAAATGCTATTTGATAGGAACTTTCTTATAAAATAAATAATCTGTGTTAGTATCTTTGATGTCTAGTGCTAATAGTCTAAATAATTTACTATGATAACCAAGAATAGAAAATATACAAACAATATTATGTAACAAAATGCTGGTAGGTTTAAAATAATGACCTATACCATTGATAATACTTAAACACAATAATAAATATATCTACATCAAGTATAAAAAGAAGCACTATACACTATCTACATAGAAACTTCTATGCTGTGAGAGTGTGACAATAATGCTTTCAGAAATTATTTTTAAATCTATACTAGATTTCATTCTTCATAACATTTTCTTTTTTAGATAACTGCAATTATAACAGTAAATAATGTAACCTGATTAAAATTCAATTCGAAAATATCATATGTAAGTTGTAATGCCAAAAAATACTTGAAATGATAAAATAAATAATCAATGAAATATCAATACGGCAAAATGCAATTTCAAATGCAGAGGTGATAAAATAGTGCCCTATATTAGATGATGTTTAAAAAATTATTTTCTTTGATTATAATATGAGTAATTTTATTTTCAAACCAAGATTATATTAAGAAGTTTAACAAAATATTGAAATATAAAAATTAATCTTCAATACATTATGCTTCATATTACAGATGGTTTCTATGTTTTTTAAAGATACTTTATTTGGCCATTAATTGTGCCTTATATGCACATACTACCAGTTTAGCCTGAAATGAAATGAGATAAAATTTCAGTAAACAAAGTCACAACTCAGTGTGTTAGGTGACTGCTACAAAAATGCTTACTATTAATTTTTCTTCACCTGTGTTTTCTCATATTTTTTAAATAAGTAAGAACAAAAGGCTAAGGCAATACATAAATATATTTGCAGTTGCATCAGTATTGATTACAGCATGTTTGATTCAAGTGAAGTAACTTTCTTATGTAAATTTTGTCAACAGAAAATTACGAATATTTACCTTGGATGTTGGAGCAGATTCAGTGTTTATACATAATTCATTTTTACCAGGTAATAATGGATGACACGACAATACAAAATTTAAATTCTACAACAAAAATAAGGAATATTTATTGTAAAATTTTATGTAAAATTCCATTCCATTGATAAAAAGATAAAATTTATATGAATCCTGTTCACATTTGTATCACAACTTTCAATTTTTAATAAAAAGCATTCCTTCAATATCCCACAATTTGCCAATGTTAAATGCTTTGATTGGTTAAAAAAAAAAGGTTTATGCGAACAAGACTGCAGTTGAAAAATTGCTAGAACAATAAACAAAGAATACAAAAGACATACCTCTGTTAAAGTGGGCTGTCTAACACCATTCAATATGACACTTGTAACAGCACATGGTCCATGTAATCTACATCTTATATCATTTTGTTTTATTCTAGCATGTGATATAAATAATAAAAATCCCACACCTGAAATTACCCAAAAATATCATCAGAAAAATGTACAGTGTACTGTGTGAATTATGACATCTTAGTATCGCTAGACTTTCCTTGTGTCAGTCTTTGAGTAATAAAACATACATTATATTCTGAATGAGTCTCTTTATCATCAACATGATGACCTCAAGATTTTCCTGTGTGTTTAAAATAAGACTAGCCATATATTTCGTTTAAAAAAAAACGAAAGTAGATAATAAATGTTTTGTTTTGGTTATAGGACATGAAGAGTAAAATACAATGAACAAAAGACTATATCATACCTGGATGTAATGGTTCCATAACATGTTTAAAATTTATAACAAATTTATTTCCTTCTTTTAATGGAAAACATTGCATTGGAAATAATGCTGTGATGATTCTGGCAGTGTTATTTAATGTTAATGCTACTTGTTTATCAAATTCACTTGTTAACCTGTCAAAATAGAAATTACATAATTTTTTCATGTGAACCTTCCATTCCACATTGTTATGCTACAGGGTTCTATATTTCTGAAAAGGTATTTGATTTAGGCAGTTTATATAGAAAACACAATTCCTATGGAAGTCACTATAATAGAGTCCAGATAATTATTTCATTCTCTTTTACAAGTAATCCTGCAATAACTTTTGTCATTGTATGGTATTTCTTGAAGTACAAATTCTACACTTCAAAAATTAAGTTTCCCTCGGCTCATTCTAGTCTACCCTCAGACATAGAAAACTATTTGACCAAGTCGATGTTAGTAGACAAGATATATTGGAAGTACTTATATGTAATTAATTATTACCTTGATATATGGTCAATCATTAAATCTTCTACATCTAAATTTCTCATAGTTTTAGCATAAGTTAGAGCACTATACCCACTGTTTGATTTCAGAGCAAAATTAGCTCCTGCTTCTAATACACATTGTGTTATTTGTTTATGACCTCTCTTTACAGCCTGAAAATAAAATAATAATTACTGGTTATTAAAGAGCGTTAAAATGTGTATCGGGGACACTGATGTCATTAATTTGCACCATTCCCAATTTTCAGGCAGATGTCAGTGCCTCAAGCAATTCCATTTAAAAGAAAGCATTTTATAATGTTACTCTCGAAAAAATTGCTATTGATATATAATGACCTATGGGTCAATGACATCATCAAACCCATAGTTTAAGTAGAAATGCAAGAACCCGGATTGAAATTGGAATGGTGCAAATCCAGCTAAAAGTGTTCCTGCTCCCTGATACACATAAAATTTAGAAAACCTCTCTACAATCCCTATAAGTATACAACCTGTTTTGAGGGTTTACTTAAAGCAAAATGCTTTCCATTTAAGATTACTGGTACATAGATTGTTTCAAAGAAGGCATGGGGACAAAAATGAATTACCTTTATTAAACTAGTTTCACCATTCGATTGTTGTATATTTAAATTAGCACCAATCTCAATTAATAATGCTACAGTACATACATCACACTAAAATAAAAAATAACTTTATTTTATTATAAAATATAACAATATAAAAAAACCAGCAACTAATTCAAACCTTACATCTCTCATTGAAAAGTATTTCCTTGTTTGTTCAAAATAATTAAAATGAGACCAAACTCTCATCCTGTTTTTTTACAAGCTTTTATTTTTTTCATTTAGTTAGGGTCTAAAGAGGGCCCTCTTGAACATTCGTATGTTTGATGAAACCTGTCAGTACCAGCCAATCAAATTTCTGCTCTGGGATTTTGTTAAGAGAACAAAAGGAGCATTAAGTGTCTAATACTTCTCAGAATGAGCATTTTGTTCGAGTCACAGAGTCCCAGAGCAGACATTTGATTGGCTGGGGTGTCATCAAACAGATGAATGTTCAAGGAACTGTCTTCAGACCCTAACTGAAGTGGCTAAATCAAAAATGAAAGCTGAAAAAAAAAAACAGAATGAAAGTTTGGTCTAATATTAATTAGACTGTTATTTGTTTGTTAGCTAACATACAACCTTCCTGTTCAGAAGACAAGAATTCGACTCATTAAACTTAAGACGAAAGTGACAAAATTGAAGAAAGTTACCTTTTCACATGCTAACATCAATGGTGTGTAGCCATTTTTATTTCTTGCATTAATATTTGCTCCATGATAAACTAATAACTCACATATATCATCAAAACCTGTTCAAATTAATTAGAATTATGTTAAAATATGTTAAAATCTATTTCAATATACAAATATTTTTCTGAATTAATTACACATGCCATTTTTTAGGACTGATAGAGATAGGATGCCTGGGACCTTATTCTCAAATACCTTACTATGAAATGATTTTAGTGTCATCAGTCATCCAACTGATCAAATAATATAATCTGTTTAAAAATAGCTTTTAAGTCTGGAATTTATCTTAGTTAGGTTTTTGAGAACATTAGCACCAAAATAGCTTTTAAGTCTGGAATTTATCTTAGTTAGGTTTTTGAGAACATTAGCACCATTATACCTACTGATCTATTTTTTCATAATCTTGAAGTCTTGTATTTTTCTTACTTTCAGAATGAGAAAAATGCACATGCTTTTGCTCAGCCAAGTTAATTTATAGAATATCAAGATAAAAAACAAAACAATGGTTTCAATAAATCTTACCTTTGCAAACAGCTAACATCAATAAACTATTGCCTTCCTCATCTCGTTCATCTAGTTCATAGAGTTTCATAGAGGAGAAAGCCCTTTTAACTAACTCATAATCCCCATCTAATACAGCTTTCTTAAATTCATCTACAAAGATATTTATTAAGACATGAGATTAAGCATTACATGTATTGGTGAGATGATCAATGAAAATTTTACAAATTTGACCATCTAGCTGTTATCTGGTTTTTTTTTCCATGTCCGTTTTGATTAAGGGACTTCTTCAGTATGTTGAAACAGAACTAAATGACTCTTATCTAGCCTGTGATATAACTATTTAATGGTTAGCCCAACAGGCAAATAAACTTTGGAAACCTAAGAAAAATAGAGTCAGTTAAGAGAAAGTATAAAAAAAACTAGAGTATGTCACATACCATCTGTTAATTCAGCTGGATTGGAACTTGGAGAGAAAGACATCTGGAAATACAATAAAGGTAATTTTTCATTTTATTAAAACTACATTCTACTTTAAAGCTTGCAATCGAGGGATTGGATCATATTTGGCAGTTTTTGGGACACTGAATGCATCAATTTGCACAATTTATCAAGCTATCAAAGTCTTTGAGATAATGACTCCTAAAACATGTAGTTTTGGTATAATTGTAGTAACTACAGATGTCTGACTGAAAACTGTAATGGTGCAAATTGTCAACTTTGTAGTTGGTAATGTAGTTGGTAATGTAGTTGATAGAAGTGGTTGACATCCACTGACTTATAAATAGTTTCCAACAATGGAATGAGAGGTAACATCAAGTATCTTTACATGGCGTTGTGATACACTACATGTATTGTTGCATGTCGTATTGCAATAAATCAATAAACCGTACCAGCAGTTGTCTGTGATAGTTTAACCAGTATACTTACTTGTCTATCTAAATCATCTAAATCTACATCATTTAAATCTATATCAAATCCAATATCACAGCCTGAGAAAAGAAATCAATATTCTAATCAAAAACCACATCAAAAAATGCAGGATACAATGAAAAAAAAATGAATTTAAAAAATGAACATTTTTTTATAAATAAGATGAAAAATAAATTGAAAATGGTATACGTATTAGATTACTAAATAGTTTAGAAAAACAATAGATTATATCAACAATAAAGACATAAAATTGATTTTATTTAGGCTTTAAGAGATTTTAAATTTTTCCTCGGCAGATCATGCTTTTGGTCTTGATAAATAAATTTGATACCCGAAAATGGGTTGGGATGATCTTTCATGAAAATCGACTGTTGATGTCAGATCCTAAGCATAGTGCAAATATCACACATCTGAGGAACTGGTCAAGGTCATAGTGAACGAGCTTTGTGGTTAGTAGAGTGTCTGAGGTGTGAATAACTTTGACTCTATACAATTTGAACCAATTCATAAAAAAAACAAAATCCTCACCTTTATCTTGACTTCCTTTAGAGAGATTAGGTGATAAATTTAAAAAAGATTCACTCAAGAGATTTTCTAGAGGTTGAGTAAAGTCTTGTACATTTTTCCCACGATTCTTATCTTGACACACTGATCCGTCTAAATTTTGAGATTTAGATCTTGAATTGCTAAAATCAGATAAATGAGTAACAATATTCTGACGAGTTTCATCCATATTTTCCTTTCCACCATCGAAATTATTCATGATATCATAAGCTGGTGGAAAATGAAGTGAAGATTGTTTGAAAGGAATAGTATCTAATCTAGATCTTTTTAGAGCCACATGTTCCTCACTGTCACTTCTCTCACGGCTAGCACTTTTAGTATTAGTATCTGTACTTGATTTAGGAGAATTTCTTAACAAACTCTTTCTTCTTGGACCAGACTCGACTAAATCAGGAGAAATTGGCTGAAAAAACAACAACGAAGTATTGCAAAAAGTGATAATTTTTCTGCCACAATTACCAGTGAAAGATTCTATTTATCATAAAACTATCAATAAACACATATTTTCCTTATATCCAATGCATTGTGTACATATATTAGAGGTGATTGCTTTGATTGCCAGGTCAGCCTATTTGACCCTTTTGCAAAATGTCCTTGCGTGTAACAAATACAATTTAAATGAACAGTTGAACAATTGAATCTTTTTTATCATAGTTATGTGATATTTGGAATAATTTTGGTGAAAACTGGATGCCCTTTATCAACAATTTTAGCCAATTTCAAAGGATGATATGTTATGTTGAGGTGGACCTGACATGACCTGCATAATTTGCATAGTTATTAACCTGTGCTACAAGTTCACATCATTTTTCTGATCAGCACGAAAACAGTGTGATAAAAAAAAATAGATATTCCAAAAAAGGGTAGTGGTATGGAAAACAAATGATTGATAATAACTCACTCGTATTTCTGAAAAATTATCCTTTCCATCTTCAGGTGAGTCACAGGTTTTACTAAGAGAGGAGTCAAACACACCAGAGTCAAATTCACTACTTGGATTTTCACTACTTATACTTAGTGGAGTGGTCACAGATATATCGTCACTATTTATAGAACTACGCGTTAAAGCACTGTCATTACTATCATTACTAACACAGTCACTTACTGACACACTTTTATAAGATAAAGATCGACTGGCTTTACTTGTCTTTTTCTCCTTCAGAATTTTATTCCTCCTGGTCTTTTTAGTCGGGGTGGACCGACTTTTCTTTTTACTACTACTACTAGCACTACTACTGTCACTTTTACGTCGAACCGATGGCGTCTGATTGTCAGGGGTAGGAGATATTGATTTAGAAGAACTGAAAATTTGTTTAAATGAAGTTGGTCTAGAAGCTCGACCTTGACCTTTCACTTTACTATACATGTCTGTGGCAAAAAGGTTGACTTTTCCTTCTTCTAAGTCTTTCCAAAATGTATCCTTCAAAGTTGTTTCAGGATTTTCCTCCGTTATAAAAGAAGATCTACTATCTGTAGTAATGTTTGCACTAGGAACATAATGTAAATCTTCCTGTGATCTTCCTTCCATGATGGCCTGAAAATATATTTCAATATGAATAACAACTTAGTATAGAGTTGATCAATAAGATGAGTGAGTCTATAAAAGAGAAATTTTCTGTTTTTCTTTTGAACTAATGTCTAAAATGACATAGATCTTTCCTGATAATTCAGACATTTCAATTAGTTTTCTAGACATCATTCAACCACATCTAATATATCTTACTTTTTTCAGAAGAATATTTGTTTAGACTAAAACCTCAAATTTCAGTACAAGTCCAAAGCTAGCGTACTTGTATAACTAAGAATCTAGCTATGAATACTAAATCTATATAAATTTATATGACCAACGACAAATTTAATATACCTTTTGTAGTCATGGTAAATCAAGACAACTTAAGGTTAATTAACTAATCTTCAAATTAATAGAAAATATTTAACAGATGGCTATGTTCTAATTAACAATACATCTTTAATTATTAAACTAAACTAATGACAGATTATACTTTAATCCTTTTTAAGCTAATGTTGTTATGCCAATGGTAATGTTAACTTAGTCTGAATTTAAGTTCAAGTGAGCTTATTTTTTTTTTTATTACCGCATACCGATAGTACATTTTAAAAAGTTAAAAATCAAACTTTTAGTTTGTCTGTAATAAGTGATTCACATCTATCAGGTTTTAAGGTTAGAAAAACAGATTTGCATGTCTTAAGATCAAACCAAATTAAAACTGTGCCAATCTGTGATCTTTCAATAAACATAAGCCTAATCAGAAAATTACCTGTTTTTTCTTTCTTTCTACAGCACGTTTCTGTCTAGATTCTTCTCTCTTTTTTTCAAAATCTTCCACCATATCTAAACAACTTTCTAAATTATCTACAGGTTCCCACGTATCATGTGATGGTGGATATCCTCTCCATCGTACTTTATATACAGATTTGCCCTGAATAATAATAAGAGAAAAGTTATATCTCAATCAAATAAAGAGCCAAACCTTACACTCAACCTATAATATGTACCTTAATGATTTGTATTGTTATACTAGCTAAAAGTTGCCAATCTGGTAGTTAGTTTTTATTGTTAATTCAGTTCAGCTGTCATCGATTTGGAATGGATATTCCATTGAAAAACCGATCATGAAATCTTTTTATGGAAATCATTCTCACTACCAGGTTTTATTTTTTCACAATTCACTATGAAATGAACTGTGGTCATATATTTATGACTGATTGAGGGAGCAAGAAGTAGGCTATATAGGCTACATAACAACAATCAACAACACATATGATCATAAAAAATAAATCTGTGAACTGAAGCTGTGCTATTAAGACAAAACCCTTTAAAATCAGCATAAAACTATTTCCAATAGTACTCCTTGACTATTTCTCAAGCAAAATTCAAAAGAAAAACAGCAGAATCAACACATTCGTCATTGTTAGGCCTACCTACATAGTCGTGTCAATGCTACATAGTACAATACTATGATTGAAGCAGAAGGAAAAGAGAGGGCACGAGCAATAATAAACACGCCCCCTTTTGCCTTACCCTGTTTTTACTCATTCCAACTATCTTTTCAACTTCAAACAATTCTCCCCCATCTTCCTCGTTTCCAATTCCCATTTCTTGTGATACTGAGGAGCTTTCTTCACCCATAATTTTCTTGACAGTGGGCACTCCTTTCACGTCTTCCGCCATCTTGGCTGTGTAAAACTGTGCCACGGCTAAAGCGAGTACATTGTTAATTAGGGGTATATAACTGAATTATATTACATTTTTGTAAACATTGAGAAATATTTCCTATCCCACGATTCCAATAATTAATCATCCTTAATATAAAAATTTTGAATGACCTAATTCTATTTTAAAACTTGTAAAAAGATATAAACCGCTATAATTTTCAGACTATTTCTTTATGACAGGATACTACCTACCCTTTCCCAAGAATGGACTCGACTTTTTAAGCCTCATTTACATATGAATAGCATTAGGCGCATGTCAATATTATTTTCTAGATAGCCACATGTATTATTATATTGTTAAGTAATGAAGTTGATCCATTGGCTGAAGATCGACCGCATTTCATCAAACCAGTGTCCTGAAATAACTCCAGAATTAAGGTCAAAACACGGATAATAATATTGTGAAGAGATATTGACCCAATTCCAATAATTTGACCCAGTTTTTTTTCTTTGATGATATTTTTGACCTTGTTCTTATCTAGTTCTTTTATTTCAAGCCTGAGTCTGAGCATTGACCGTTCCCCTTCGGCTCTACTCTTCTTGAGCTTGAGTAAGCATCCAAATACTCTGTTTGGTCAATATTTTACCATTATAAAAAGTATAGACTTTGTTAGAATGTAGGCCTAATTAAGATACACTATTTCATTATTTAAGTGTGTGTCTCGACCTTAGACCTACATACATTTACGTATTTATTTATAGGTGGTTGAGACGGGGTGGTGGGTCTTTTAAGAAATTGGAACTCAAGGTCAATCTCTATGGAACCAAACATTTTTACCATATTTATACCACAGACAATTTTATGGTGATTATAACGGACCTACAGTATAAGGTTTTATAAGAGAAACTCTCTTATAGAAGCACTGGCCTAGGTTACAAGTAGGGACTGTGAATTACAGCATTGGAATACAATCTATTAAAATTAACTGATTAAGATTAAAGGGATGTCGTCTAGATATTCTTACCAGATTAAAGGCCTATACCAGAGCTCAATTTCAGCTATCCGAATAATTTTTCAAAATTCTGATAAGAATATGTAATTGCGATATAATCTGCTTTCAGAAGAATCTTACCTCGATACTATTCTGAAAAGAGTTACGAATAGTTAAGGCAAAGCTATATATATGTGGTAGCCCTAACGCTAAAAATGTGCTAATTTAAGTCCATGTATTGCATCCCATTATTTATAATCTTATGATTATGTATTCGAATATTTAAAGGAATTCAGTCCCTTTAATCATTATATTTCAAAATTCTGTGGTCAATTTTTCAACTGAATAATTAATGACATACTATATATATATCTTTATATGTAGAAAGAAGAGCGCGAACATATCAAAATTGCATCCGAAAACTTTCATATTGCTCCAAGTTGAGTAGTTAAGTTTCAAACTTTTTAATGAACTAGACAAGAAAATTGACAATTAGTTGTAGTCCGAAAAATATCCACAGTAGGCTACAGTAACATTCCTTTAAATGACAAATCCGGATACACTGATGATATTAAGTATGGGTTTTTAGGAAAGGGATAGTAAATTATAAGGACCAATAACTGCTTATATGGATTGTGTAAGAAGATTATTGTATAGATCACCCTCTTACATTTCCAAAGTGGTTATCAATAAATGAAATTATATCAACAAATGTAAGTCTTATTATCATAATAAAGTTTATATATAATAGTAAAAATAACAATAATTTATATAGATTAATAACAATACCACTCATGAGATTAATCTAGATATTCAATAGTTGGTTATGGATCCACGTTAAAACCATTAGTTCCTGAACTTCATGAGGCTGGTTCTCACATGTTATATTAGTATTCATCTTATAATCTTCTAGAGGATGAGCCTGAAACATAATTTAATACGATATTATGATTTGATTCAGGACGTGACCGTGACGGATAGGATGGGATAGGATAGGATAGGGCTTTTTTTCTTGGATTAGTATATTGGTCTTAAAATAATATAGAATTTATATAGTCCGATATGGATAGATATATGGACGGATGTTTATATTAGAACATAACTATTTTAATACATATGTTTTTAGTTGGAGTAATGCAGTAATTTTTTTGAAGGGATACAGTCAAATGATATTAATATTGTCAATAGATGGACCACAATTTAAGCTATCCGCATCACTTCTAAACAAAACAAAGGGCAGACATCCAATCATGGGGGAAGTTCCCGTACCCCCTCCCCTCCCGGAAAACTTTGTGAATTGTTACGCATTACAGTGGTGCTCTCTATGGAGTTGTTGCTATATCTCAATTGCTACCGAGACAATTGGAAGTCTGCAAACACGATTTTCTGAAGTATAGGGACCTCCTCTAGAAAATTTTAAAAAATTTGACTTCTGGAAACGCGATTTCCTGATATTTCCTGGCGAATTTAAGGTTTATTTGTATAGGGACTGTGGGACCACCACAAGAAAATTATGAGAAACAGACGCCTGGAAAAGCAACTTCCTGACATTTCCCAGCGAATTTAAGGTTCAAGATTATTTGTATTGAGTCTGAGGGATCTCGCCTAGAAAATTTTGAGAATTAGACGCCCGGAAAGGCAATTTCCTGACATTTCCCAGCGAATTTAAGTTTCAAGATTATTTGTATAGGGTTTGGGGTATGCCACTTAGAAAAATTTGCGAATTAGACGTCAGGAAACGCGATTTTCTGACATTTCCCTACGATTTTAAGGCTCAGGATCATTTTGTGTTATAGCAAAGACTCCCCTTGACTCAGTAAAATGAATTAATGTATTTAAAAGTAACAGTTGGCACCCCCCCCCCCCCCCCTTTTTATTGGCTACGAGCCTGTTTTGGATAGGTTAGAATTTACCGCCTAGGCTATATAGATTAAGTGGACCACGGCTCCATCTTATTATTGAAGTACTGAATTAAACAACGGTGAACATATAGCTAAATTGAGCTTTTTCAACTAGCAAAGTAAAATATTTAGACGGCTACATCCCTTTAGGCCTGACTTTTGTGATATAAAAAATGTGTACCAGTAAGCTACAATGATTAATGAGAATCGTGTATGATGTGCATGCTCCAGACTGTCGATTCGGAAATTATCAATTTCCACTGTTCGTGAGCCAGGTTGCATATTTCAATTGTTCAATAATTAATTGTGGCATAAAAAGTTAAGGTTGATTTATCTGAGGCTTACGAGTCAGTAAAAGGAAATTAACCCTTCATTCAGCATGCATCCTTTTTAGTGACGTACGGGCATCAAGGGCTAGAGATGTATGAAATCTTACACCCTTTTTTTCAAAATGTTCACATAGATACACTCAATAATGTCAGCTTTTAAGAAAATATATGCCATACCTGATAAGATGATAATGTTGCAGTTTTCAGATTATAATCATCTAATAACAGTCTATTTTGTAAATGTGGTGTCGATTTCTCAGATTTGATCAAGTCGTGAGTCCTAATAACACCCGATAAACTTTGAATATATTCACTTGCTGATTTTAATATTGATATTTTAGACATTCGATTATCGTTCTTCCTAAATGGTAAATGATCTCTGAGATTTACAAAAGCTTGATTCACATTATCCACCCTTTCTCGCTCTCGTCTGTTTCTTTTAACAACATATTCATTGGGTCGCTTACTATGTGGAATATGCTCTTTCCTTTTCTTGTTCTCTCCTTTCTTGGTGACTTCTGAGTAAGGATGCATATTGACATAATAATGTTGAAATATGTGCACGTTTGATTTTATATATTTCCATTAGGTTAATTATTGTGTCATAAGATGTAATACAGCAGGTTAGATACGATAATAAGGGGGTAGAATATTTTATAAGGGATGAAACCCTGGTGGTTTTATTCATTATTGTCAGTGACCGGCAAATTACTGTCTGCCAGCAATTAAAGGCACGCGACAGTCTACCAGGCGAAGTGAGAAGTCGGAAAGAGAAAATTTACCGTTTAACGCAGAGGTAAATGTATAATTGGTTACGTGTGGTGCAGAATAAAGGACGGGAGTTATCTCCCCTTTTAAAAGCACCCCAAACAAAAGAACTAACAGTATATTATTTACATCACTTAATTGTTATTGTTCATTTAGGAAAATTAACCCCATGGATGCTCTTTCAAATCTTTATCAAATGAGATATAATATTCATTCACATTCAGTTCATTAATCACGCCAGAAAGTCATATAATTTTGCTATGTTGTTGTTTGCTGGACAGTACTTGTCATACCATAGAAAACAACTAAATTACTTATGGTACCAAACTATACATTGAGAGCCAAATGGATGGAGTCAGTATGAAAAGCCCTTTCAGGTACTGATAAAAAAAAAAGGACATATAATAATGTTACAAAATTTGCTATGTTTTATTCAGTTGAGAATGGCATAACTTAATAACTTATATTCCCAATCTATTCATGTATCTTTTATTTGCTTCCTTCGTTAAAGCTGTGTTAAATCCTGGCCAGTTTGCTCGATTTTCAACAACGTTTCTATCAGCTGGTTTACCATT